ACAAAAAAAAACAATCAAGCTGTAACCTTTAGACTACTTACTTAGGATTATCACTTGTGATAAAATTCTCCTGAATTTGTAGGAATTTTGTTATTTGTAGGGGCCTAAGACTAGAGTAAAAATGGCTGCTATACAAAATCAGGCTCATAATAAGTTTGTAAATGTAGAGTATAAAATTGCACCCAGCAAACAATATGCATTAGACACCGGTGGTTAATTTGATTTAATAAAGGCAAAAAATGCTGTTCACTTTGCAAGATAATCTACAGGTTGAACCTTAGCTGAGTGAATGTGGTGAAAATTCACTTTGCAAAGAGTACACAATCATGTGCAAGGACTATAAAAAACAGCATTTGGCCTACACATGAATAGAGGATGGAAGTCAGCAGAGCTTCACCTCAATCACTGAACTAAAGGAAAACTTCCCATGCAAAGTGAAAATTCCCCCTGCAAAGTGAACAGCGTATTTGCCTTTAGTAAATCAACCCCTGAATATCTACACTAGATCATTAACATTTTAAAATTGTACAGGCCAAATGTTAACCAGTCAACCATGCAATATTTCTCCACAGGTGTTTCATATAATGGAACATTTATTTAAGGTTAGTCCGCTTACTTTCAAATATTAAAACGCCGAGCTATGTGATGGATCCTCTGTATCTTCTCACTCCCAATTCTTCCCTGCAATTAACAGTCACTGCGAAACGTTTCACCCCTTCTTGTGCCCAATACCTACATTTGCAAAGCCCCAACTTTTGGAAATTACTTCCCACGCAAGTGTTCGCTAAGGAATGTGGAAGTGTAACACATGCAGATATAAATTTTTACTGATATTAAAAGAGGTACTCCCCTGACAATGACTTCATGTTCCTTTGCCTTAACAAAGACATTTCAATCATTATTCAGACCCATTTGGATGCATTAAACCGAAAAATACATCTGATTGGCCAGAAATTTCACATGTCCTATTCAGTTAAGTTTTTTTCAGACACATTAGGATGCATTGGGATTCGGAAATTCGGATGTGTCCAAATGTCCGAATTTCAGAAAATTTGTCCGAATTTTGATTCGAAACAAAACAAATCGCACATGTCTAATTTTAACATGTGATGCATTTATTCAGGCAGACTAGTAAAGGTAATAATAAGTCCATTCAAAAGTGGATGGTATTGCAGCCTTGGTGTACAAACCTGGTTCCAGCACCCTTTTATATAGGAATGGAAAGAATACACAGTTATCATTGTAAGTCTTAGAAGTGCATGTAAAACAAATGTTAAAACACATTTGCAATATATGAAAAGGACAGTCTGTATTCAAAATGTATTGCTTTACTTCTCTAGGGCTAGTCATCAGGCTTCTGGCATACACAGCTTGTATTTTGCCATGCTCCAATCCCTCTTATGCAGCATCTTTCTATATACAGACTTTAGTAATATATATCACACCTGCTAATATAACATTTTTATTTTATTAGTGCAAGACATCTTGATTTAGTTTTTTTAGCTTTAAAGAAATGTTAAAATGGTACTCTAGCAGGTATGATATATAACAGTTGATGAGAATTTGCCAGAGGGGTGCATTTGTAAAACAGACCCCCAAAATATGTGATAAAAAGTGCAGTTACACTTCAAGTGGACCTTGTACTCCACTCTTTTTAGTGTGGCCCACCGTGCTCTTGCTGAAAACTCATATAAAACTTACAAAAACACCTGTAAGGGAGAGAAGTTAGGTAATATACACAACTTTCCCCAGCTTTCATCCTGCCAATAAGATCCCAAAGAATTCTGAGAGCTCATAAAGAGTGATCACAAATTCTTGCAAGTAGTTGCAAATCTTGCAAGCAGATGCTGAAGCATAGTGAAGGATTATCTTCTCAGCAAAATTTGGGCTATTTAACATTTCTCAGGATCTTGCTAGGGGAAGGTCAAGGTCAACTCAGCCTAGGCACCGAGGGCATAAGCCAAGGGAGATGTAAGTATTTTATTTGACTTTTTTCCCCACAGTTGTTACTTTTATGCTTTATGCAGCGATTCAGTAAGGGGAAGGGTGACCACATTTTCAAAAGCAGACCTTGCTATTTAGGCCAGGGTCTGCTTTAAAGTAAATCTATGCTGAGAACGATAGGTACCCTACTAAATCTGACTCCTCTTTCAGAAAATTCTAGGTGCCTGGCTGTCATGCATACCCTTTTGTTTCAGTACTTTCTGAGCCACCCTGAATAAATATGCAGATCAGGACTCCACATTTTATTTGCCGGACCAGGCATGTAATCAAGAAAGTAATAAAGCCAGAGGCAACCAAGCATCCAACATTTGCAGAAGTAGTTCATCAATGTCAGCATATATATGTTTTTTTTTACAACAGATTTCCTGTCATATATTAACCAATAATATATTAATTAGGTAATGTAAAAATAATTGACATATTAATACTTATTAAGACATAAGGCAAGATAATGATTTAAAAAAACAAAACAAAAAAACTTCACAAATTTAGAAGAAATGATTCAGGTGTTGGCAAATATTTTCTCATAAAGTGTCGGCAAATGTGCCCTCACTAGCTTCAGAATGTTAATATTTCTTTAAATCTTTGAAAATTCAGGTAATTTGTAAATTTGTTTGGACACATCTAAGGATAAGCTGACATTCCAGGGAAATGGCAAAGTGTAATTTGTAAAAATACATACACCACAAAGATATTCATATTGTAAGACAGATGATTTCTCAACAATCAGTAACATTAAGTTGCCTACCTGGCTTATTTCATGTAACAGGCTTGAATTGGTGGATTGATTACCCTGTGTGTCCATTAGAGCTGAATTTATAGCAGTGACTGGTTTTGTTAATGTAAAATCTGCACTGTTGGTTGTAGGAGGAAAACAAGGCGGATAGCAAGGCCCTGGCGTTTCTGTTGGAGCCATCCTTACTTCCATGTATTTTAGTGTTCCATCTGTGTTCAAGTATAGAGTGGGCTTGTAGTGATCCATGTAATTACTGGAATGTGATTTGTTTGGGAAGCAAGACCCACAACCACTACTGTAATGATCCCTTCTAAGGCACCTCACAATTAATATAATAAATGTAACCACAGAAACCAAACTGATGGCTACAAGAGAAATTATGAGATACAAAGTCATATCCGGTGCAGATTTGGAATTTGCAAGAAAACCATGGGATTTGGGGGTTTCCTGAGCAATATTATCCATTATATTTACAATCAGAGAGACTGTAGAGGACAGTGAAGGCTCCCCATGGTCACTGACTGAAATGACAAGCCGATATTCTGTGTTATCCGTCTCCTGTAAACCTCGCAGAGTTCTAACTTCTCCTGTGTATTCAGAAATGTGAAACAAAGCTGGACTGCCCGACTGAACAAGACTATAGGTGAGCCATGCATTGTGCCCAGAATCCAGATCCACCGCAGATACTTTACTGACTAAATAACCAGCAGATGCAGATCTGGGAATGGTCTCTTGTGCAATGAGTTCCACTGAATTCTCAGGGTATAATATAGAGGGATAATTGTCATTTGTATCCTGAATAAATATGAAGACTGAAACATTGGAAAACAGCTTTGGAGATCCAGAATCTTCTACTCTCGCAGTGATCTGTAGAACTTGGAGCTGTTCATAGTCTAAAGAGCGCTGGGCATAAATATAACCAGTGTCGGAGTTAATGTAGACAAAAGAAGAGACAGGAGAGGCATCTATGTGGCTCTCCACTATGGAGTAAATGAGCTTTGCATTATCTCCCTCATCTGGATCTCCAGCAGATACTGTACACAGCAGTCTGCCAGGCTCATTGTTTTCTGATATGAAGGCATTGTAAACAGACTGTAGAAATGTTGGATGGTTATCATTAACATCAGCAATGTCAATGATGATTGTGTCCTGGCTGCTTAAAGGGGGAGAACCCAGATCAGAAGCAATCAGTGTAATAGTATATTGTGAAGCTTTCTCCCTGTCTAGCTGTCCACTAGTGACCAGTGTAAAGCGGTTTGACATGGGCTGGCATTTAAAGGGCAAATCTGGTGATATCTTCAGTTTGACTTCCCCATTTTTACCCGCATCCCTGTCTTTGACTGTGATAAATCCAACAACAGTCCCTACTGGGACATTTTCAAGCACATAAGAATTTTTTGATGTATATATGATTTCTGGAGTATTATCATTTACATCTTGTACATCCACTTGAATAACACAGTGACCCTCTAGTTTAGGAGATCCTTTATCTTCTGCTTTTATGAACAGTTCATACAAATCTGAATCTTCAAAATTGACAGTTCCTATAACAAACACTTCACCCGTGTATTCATTTATGTCAAATATTTTCTTTGCAGAATCCAATGTGTGATAATCAAAGGAATATAAGATTTCACTGTTTGTACCCTCATCCAAATCTGTAGCATTTAGCTTTATAACAACTGTTTTTATGGGGATATTTTCTACAACACTAATTTTATAGCTTGAGTGATCGAACACTGGTGCATTATCATTAATATCTAAAACAATAACAGATATTTGTGTAGATCCTGATCTTGGTTGTTCTCCACCATCTATGGCTGTAAGGATCAATGTATGTTCTGCATTTTCCTCTCGGTCTAAACTTTTATCCAATACTAATTCTGCAATAAGGCTTCCATCCTTACGATTCTTAGTTAATAAGGAAAAATATTGATATGAATTTAATTTGTACTGTCTAACACCATTCTTACCTACATCCAAATCCTTTGCTAGCTCTAACTGGAATCGTAAACCAGGACTTGGCACTTCTGCAATTTTTATAACTTGATTGCTGCTTGAGAAAAGAGGTGAATTATCGTTTATATCCAATACCTCAATTTCTAGGCTGAACAATTCCGAAGGATTCTCAGATACAACCTCTAAATGCAGCAAACAGCTGGAACTAGATCCACACAGGCTCTCTCTATCAATCCTCTCATGCACTGCTAGTGTTCCATGTTTATGATCTATAGCAAAAAGATTGCTGTTTCCTTCAGATCCCAGACTTAGTCTTCTTCTATTAATATCTGCCAGGCGTAATCCCAGATCCTGAACTATATTCCCTACAATGGTCCCTGGAACTGACTCCTCTGCAACAGAATAACGGAGCTGCCCAGAGACCCAGCCCCAGCTACAAAGGAGAAAGGAGAAAGCTACTTGCCATTTCCAAGCATTGGGAAAGCTTTGGCAGTCCATATCTTAAATCCTTTGTGTAAAAAGTAAAATATACATCCTTTTTGTAATCCAAATGTGGTTGGAGATTAGATTATCCTGAAGAAAAAACAGCTATTTTCAGCATTGTAATCATCCACGGGGCTCTCATCGGAGCAGCAGCTCTTCTTTGTGTGTAGCAGAGGAGATGGGAGGGTGAATCACTGAGCCAGGGGGAGGAGAGTGCACAGTTGAACTAAGCAGAATCAATAGTGTGACTTGTATTCCTTAACTGGATGACAAGCCTGCCCTCTTCTGGTAAATAGTAAGAATAAAATTGAACTGTAAATGACATGCTTCCAAGCCTTTCAAATATGTTCATGAGACAGACAATTTTTGAGGTAGATATAGAACACATTTACAATATGTCCCCTATTGTTTAAGAATAATTTAAGGAGTACTATAATTTTAAAACTGATAGAAAAGGAACTGAGCTCATTTGTAACAGTGAATCAATTTTGGGGTGGAAGTATATAAGGTGGGCAATCAAATGCATAATGCTTGACTTGTATGTATGAATATTAATACTATTTAAGGATAAGGTTTATATTGGTTTGACCAAAGTCAATTATATAATTTTAGAATACTGTTATGATATTTAACTATTGTGTCATAGAGTATTTTAATGACAGCATTACACGGGTACCTAATATGACAAATTATTATACTGTAGATACAAGTAGTATTAAAGGCTTGATGTTTTTTTACCTTAATGGATTCTCTGCATTAGGGCAAAAAATACCCAGTACTTTTAAAAAAAACCCATCCCCCCCACACTAACCTGTGGCAAATGCACTCATCAACTTGTTACCAGCCTTACAGCAAGGTGCACATGGAAGGGCCTTATACAGTAAAACAGCAAACAGATTTCCCAGCACACTCACCAGCCAGCATGCCATGTGTGCTCCAAGATGGAGACTCTCATAGTTTAGAGTTAGGACCGCACTATTTAGAGGTCCCTTGACACGGCTGTGCGGCTTTCACATTTTCTGCAGAAGACGTGTAACTAAACCTCTGCTTTTAACCTTAGTGGTGAGACAAGTTTTTTGGCATGCTGGTTGGTGAGTTTGCTGGGAAAACTTTTTGCTGTTTTACTGTATAAGGCCCTTCCATGTGCACCTTGCTGTAAGGCTGGTAACAAGTTGATGAGTGCATTTGCCATTTGTTTTGCTTGACTGATTTGGTGCAGTGACGCATGGGGGGGTCTTAGCTGCCATTGTGATGTGCGGTATCCCTTGTGCAGTGTTAGGACCGCACTATTTAGAGGTGCCTTGACACGGCTGTGCGGCTTTCACATTTTCTGCAGAAGACGTGTAACTAAACCTCTGTTTTTAATCTTAGCGGTGAGACAAGTTTTTTTTGCATGCTGGTTGGTGAGTGTGCTGGGAAAACTTTTTGCTGTTTCACTTGTATCCTGCGCCGCGACCAGAAAGATACTCAGCGTTCCCTGATCTTCTTGGTTGAGAGAGAGGGTACTGAGTGCAGAGGAGCCATAGGCTCCTACTGCCATCAGTCAAACTGTGACTGCACAGTAGGTGGGGGGTGGCTGGCCGCATGTTGTCTGTGTCTATAGAGGCACACAGCTAGGTGCAAGCATGGCCATGAGCATACAGGCAGGGGTGCCTCCACAGCAGCTGGCTGCTGATGGAGGCACATGTACATTAGGGGTGCTAGCAGTTTGGATACCACTAACAACAATGAAAAAAAAACATTTAAACAATGAAAAAAGTTTTTTTACAGTAAGTCTGGCCCCCATAAACAAAGAAAAAAGTCCCTCAGTGTTGCTGGTTAGGCTGGAGAAAGTCTCTGCACTTAGAGCCCACCTTGCATGCCAGTGTGCTGCCTGTAGTGATATAACATCCTACACAGTGACTTTGATTCTGAAAGTTGGGATAGGCATACTTTTTTTTAGCATCTGTTTAGTTGCTGGAGCCAGGGGACAGTTTCTTCAAGCCTCCTATCCTGCACATTAGTAGCACAGAGACTTAAGTGATATCACTGCACACAGCAGGCAGTACTTTGCAGAAATTTGTGCAAGGGGAGAGTTTTGTCTTTATTTCTAATATCTTGGTATAAATATATGTCTTTATGATAATTTAGTGTCCTGATGAATGAGTAAGAGGTGTAGAGGATCCCTTTACTAGGTTTGCATAAACATGCATATATGCCCAGATAGCAAGTAATTGAGCTGCAAGTTTGAAAATGACTTGCTAAACTATTGCAGACTTCCCAAGCTTCACAATTTTGTTGCACAATTACAGCAAGTCTGCATTGCAAGTCTCCAGACCAGCGAGCTTGCAGAGCTCTTGCTAGGACCTGCAGGACTCTTGCTGTAGACTTGCTTAGCAAATTTGCTTCAAATTCCAAAAGTGTCAACTAGAACTTGTGCTGCAAGTGTTCAGCAAGTCTACAACATGCCAAGAATGTGTGCAGCAAGTTAACAAGAATTACAATTTAACCCTGGCACAAGTTTGTGGCAAGTTATGCTTGCTATCTGGGTGTATGTGCAATGTGCATAAACATGATAATTGCACATACACTATCCTACAGCACCTTCTGATGAACTGGAGGTAAAGAAGAGCCCAATGCCTTTTGACACCATGCTGGTGATATTTGGACCCTTTTTTGAAGCACTTGACACTGAAATTGATGGAGCTAAGAGCTCACATTCTGTAGGGCCTACATGCTTGTGGCTTTCCAATTACAATTTAAGTTAAATCTATTAGAATTACTGTTATTTTTTTAAATATAGTAAATACAGGATCATCACCAAACTTTGTGAATATTACCATAAAAACACCAGATTTCACATAATATTGCAGCACATTATCCTCACTTCACATAACCAATCAGAAAACCAATAACCACTGCCTAATTTCAAATGAATATAAATTTAGTACGCAGCCAAATTCCATTACCCTCAAGACTTTATAAATGTGTTGCCATACCTTAGTAGTAGACATTTAAAGCCCATCTCCACAACAACCACATTTCACAAGCTGACATTTTTACATCCTATGGTGTGTTTGGAGCCTCTTTAGAGGTTAACAAAGCACTTACACGGTTATTCACAAAATGGTGAAGAGTTTGGAGAAGGACAGCACTGAGAAGTGGGGCAGCACAGTCTGCAGCTTATCCTGTGGATCCCTGCTGCTCTCCCCCATCTGTATGGGCAGAGGCAGCGGGGATCCGAGGAGAAGTGAGCTGCATCCGGTGGGGGGCATGCTGCATTGACAGTGGCTCCCTCCTCCACCTCCCCCACGACTGCAGCGCTTCACTTCTCCTTGGATCCCCGCTGCCTCTGCCCATACAGGCCGGGGAGAGCAGCGGGGATCCAGAGAAGAAGTTGCAGGTCGTGCCTCGCCTCTGTGCGTGGCCAAGCGGCGGAGGATTGGTACATATCAGTGATATGTACCGATCCTCTGTGTGCAGAGCAAACACTGGAGCGATCACTCCAGTATTTGTAAATCGCTGGGGACATATATTACTGTGTCCCCAGTTATGAATGAGCAGGACGTGCTTTACGTCACTTCCTGTCCATTCATGAGTTTCTGAATGGGTAGTAGCACTCACTATAGAGGCTTCTCCCTATTCAGAAACTGTATGATAGTAAATATTTTCTGAATGAATGGGAAGCCTCTGTACTTTCCATTTATTTAGAACAAAGTCTGCAGAAAAAGAGATTGAGGGCTCTGTTTCCTCAATTACCTTTTCTATGTTAAAAGGGAAATATCAGGGGGCTGTTTAGACCCCTAATATTTCCCTGAAACCCCCCAACAGTAAAAATAAAATAAAATAACAACTAATAAAAAAGAAATAATAAAAAAGAAATAAAAGATAATTTAAAAAAACACATCCTGGAGGCATCACATGATGCCACGCCATGACATCACATGACGCCACGTGTGCGCATGCTGGGTAACGTCACACACCTGTTGGGTGAGCACTTTTTTTGTTCTTGCCTCGGGCACAAAAGGAGCTAGCTACCGCTCTGCTGCAAATCAACAACAGTGCAAGTGAGTTGAAAATCCTCTTACTGCTATGCAGAAGAAATGCCATTATATATTTACAGGCATATAAATATTTCAGCTTTACCAAGCATGCTGTCTTTGTACCATGCATGCTGTCACTTCTGTAATAGACTTGCTTATTCCATTTATTGAGACAGAAATAGGTCATGTTTATTTAAATGTGAAAAAAACAAAACTGGTTATGAATAAATCCTACACATTGATTTCATTTTATTTGTCACCAAGGTCACATTAACCTAATCAAGTGTAATATAATACTATATGTTAAAACATAAAACAGTGTAAAAGTAATTAATAAACTTGCAGAATTAACAGGCTTCATAACCAGATATTAACTTTTCTAAATGGAAAGAAAAGTAGCAACATGGAAACAATTACCAGGCATGATGCTTAGTAATATGCAAAACAGTAGTGTTACATTTATAGATACACTATTAGTGGCTTTGATAACACTAGGTTGTGAAGAGTAATAGTAAGAGTAAAAAAAAATGCTTTTCGTAAGAGTGCCCAGCACACAGGTGTCTCTGGCACATTCCAGTATGCTTATGTAAGTTAATAAGAACAAATATTTAAAAAATATTTAGCTAGGCCGGCAGTCCTCAAGCTGTGTCCCACAGGCTAATTAATGAGAAGGTCAGTCTTGCATGGCATTCTCATGGCACAATGGAGCCACTATATACAAAGGGGTAGTGGGTGCCTGGCAAGCTATTTCCTTCTCCCAGTAACAGCTATTTCCTTCTCCCAATATTGGAACAGCTTTTATTTCCACTGACAGTCTGAACCCCCAACAGTCTGATGGTGAGTCAAAAGGAATGACCCTTTGTTTAAAAAGTACCCCCGCGCTAGGCTTTACTTGTGCCCCAGGCTTCACGTACACAACAGGAGGTCATCAAGAGCTGGCTAAAACTGCACCCTAATAGACATCATTGCTTTAAAGCCAGTTTAGATACAACACAAAACATTTTTAAAAAAACAACTATATTTAGCTTAAAAATACCCTACTATATTAATCTCTAATCTGTACACGTCAACTATACATCTTTGAACTGCTAAAGAGTAAGAAAGTAGGATATCCAAGAAATACAGATTCAGTTCAGCTCCTGGCATCCACAAAGGCTTATTGCTGGTAAAAGGAGCTGTATTTAACAGAAATTGCAGGCTGGTGCCCAAGGCACCGGAGTTAAATATGGGAGCACCTCAGAATTTAAAAAGTATACTAATTTTTTTATTTTCTTCTTTTGTCCACATCAGAACATTTGTGGTTAAACTCAGCAACAGAACTGTAACGGGAAGGGTTTAAAGGGGATGATGAGGAGTCAAGTGGCTCTTACCAGTTTATGAACCATTCAATCTTTTGTTTCTGGATTTATACAGTTGAATGTGCTACATATAAGACATAACCCACGCTGACGCCAATAAAGCATTCTGGTGTTCGTTTTGCTACTATAATTACAAAGTGTAAGGCTTTACAAACTAGCATTATCTTTAATATTAATATAGTTGTCAGTCAAATACTAAGTAAAGCAATCCATTTTATGAAAAATATGTTGAATTTGTAAGAAATAAAAGGTTATTACTCTACATAACACATAAAGATTAGTAATACCTCACCTGAGTGGGTTCATTAAGCCATTCTAAGTCTGCAATGTTTTTAGGCGTTTTCACTGTTTCATTTAAATGGGGAATAAAACAAGTGGGATTGCATGACTGTGGGGGTTCTGGGGGAGCCATCCTTACTTCCATATATTTTAAAGTTCCGTCCGTGTTCAAGTAAAGTGTTGGTTTGTACTGATCCAAATAGGATGTAGAAATTGATTTGGTTGAGAAACAAGACCCACAAGTACTGTCATAATTCTTCTTAAGGCATCTAACAAGTATTAATATAAAAGTAACAAGAAAGACTAATGTGACAGCTGTTAAGGAAATGATGAGATACAAGGTCATATTTGGTGTTGATTTAGAATTTGTAAGAAAATCATGGGATTTGGGACTTTCTTGCACCATATTCTCCATTATATTTACAATCAGTGTGACTGTAGAGGACAATGAAGGCTCCCCATGGTCATTGACTGAAATGACAAGTCGATGTTCTGTGTTATCCGTCTCCTGTACTCCTCGCAGAGTTCTGACTTCTCCTGTATATTCAGAAATGTGAAACAAAGCTGAACTGCCCGACTGAACAAGACTATAGGTGAGCCAGGCACTGTGCCCAGAATCCAGATCCACCGCAGATACTTTACTTACTAAATAGCCAGCAGATGCAGATCTGGGAATGGTCTCTTGTGCAATGGTTTCCCCTGAAATCTCCGGGTATAATATAGAGGGATAATTGTCATTTGTATCCTGAATAAATATGAAAACTGACACATTGGAAAACAGCTTTGGGGATCCAGAATCTTCTACTCTCGCAGTGATCTGTAGAACTTGGAACTGTTCATAGTCAAAAGATCGCTGGACATAAATATTACCAGTGTCAGAGTTAATATATACAAATGAAGAAACAGGAGAGCCATCTATGTGGCTCTCTGCTAAGGAGTAAATGAGCTTTGCGTTATCTCCTTCATCTGGATCCCCAGCAGATACTGTACACAACAGGCTGCCAGGTTCATTGTTTTCCGATATGAAGGCATTGTAAGAAGACTGTTGAAATGCTGGAGGGTTATCATTAACATCAGAAATATTAATAATGATTGTAGCCTGGGAACTTAAAGGTGGAGAGCCCATATCAGAAGCAATCAGTGTAATAGTATATTGTGAGATTTTCTCCCTGTCCAGATGTCCACTAGTGACCAGTGTATAACGGTTTGACATGGGCTGGCATTTAAAAGGTAAATCAGGAGATATTTCCAGTTTGACTTTCCCATTTTCACCAGAATCCCTGTCTCTGACTGTAATAAACCCAACAACAGTCCCTACTGGGGCATTTTCAGGAACTTCACTACTTTTAGAGGAAAAAATAATTTCCGGAGAGTTATCATTTACATCTTCTACTTCAACTTTAATTACACACCTTCCTTCTAATCTGGGCGATCCTTTATCTGCTGCTTTCACAAATAATTCATAAGATGTTGATTCTTCAAAATCTACAGGGCCTTTCACAGATATTTCACCAGTATGTGGATTTATGTCAAATATTTTCTTTGCAGCATCTGATGTGTAGTGATCAAAAGAATAAAATAGTTCACCATTAGAACCCTCATCTAGATCTGTAGCATTTGGTTTGATAATGACTGTTTCTAAGGGAACATTTTCCATTACTTTTGTTTTATAACGAGGCTGATCAAACACTGGTGCATTGTCATTAATATCTAAAACAACAACATTTATCTCAGTGGATCCTGATCGGGGAGGTTCTCCTCCATCAATGGCAGTGAGAAAAAGCTTATGTTCCGTTATCTCTTCTCTATCAAGTATTTTTTCCAGCACTAGTTCTGCAATCAATGTTCCATCATTGCGATTAGTTTGAAATAAAGAAAAATATGGATTTGGATTTAGTTTATATTGACGAACGCCATTTGTGCTTATATCTAGATCCTGTGCTATTTGTAGTGGAAAATGAACACCAGGACTTGTCACTAGCTCTGTGATCTTAAGTATCTGGTCATTTATTAAAAAAATAGGACTATTGTCATTAATATCTACAACCTCTATTTCCAAACTAAACAGCTCTGGAGGGTTCTCCGCAACAACTTCTAAATGCAGCAAACAGCTGGAGATGGATCCACACAGGCTCTCTCTATCAATCCTTTCTTGCACAGTCAGAGCTCCATTTCTGTGTTCAATAGCAAAAAATCTGCTGCTTCCTTCAGATCCCAAACTCAATCCTCTTTTATTAATGTCTGCAAGGTTTAATCCAAGATCCCGAGCTGCATTCCCCACTACAGTCCCTGGATCTGATTCCTCTGTAATAGAATAACGGAGCTGCCCAGAGACCCAGCCCCAGCTACAAAGGAGAAAGGAGAAAGCTACTTGCCATTTCCATGCCTTGAGAGAGTTTTGGTAGTCCATATCTTAAATCCTTTTTGTGAGATTATATAAAATATACATCCTTTTGGTAATCCAATGTAATTGTGGATGGAGATTAGATTGTCATTAAGAAAAAGCAGTTCTACTGCAATGGAATCATCCTCTGGGTTTATAATGGAGCAGCAGCTCTTTGTGTGTGAGAGAGGAGATGGGAGGGTGAATCACTGAGCCAGGGGGAGGGAAGTGTGTGGCTGAAATGAGCAAATTATTAGTGTGGCTTGAATTTCTTACTGGATGACAAGCCTGCCCTCTTCTGGCTGAATGTGAAAAACACAATTTTAAATGAAGGATATTTAAACATTT